ACCAACAAGAAAATAAACTTTTTCGGAGGGGCCTTTCCCAAAGTTTCTGATTTTCTCACTTGAGCAGTAAAGTGGTTTGCTTTTTTAAGTTGTTTTGTTGTTTTTTTCCTTTTCTCCACAGAAAGATTTTAAAACCTTTGGTATTAAATGGGATATCTGCAAGCCTGTGGTGGCCATCTTCCAAAGGCCATGCCTACAGAGAAGCACTTTTAAATGTTATACCAAACCCAAAGATGTAAGAAATATGTGTTTGTGGCACTCTGGATGTGCCTTCTTGTTCATTAGGAATATCTTCAAGACTTGAGTGCATGTGTGTCCACACTGCACCTCCGGGCTCAAGCACAACTGTGAGGATGGCTCAGGGCCGGGCAGTGTTTGGTCTGTTGCAGTGAGAGCCGCTATGAGTCAGCACCGGGTTGACGGCACCTAACAGCAACACATGGTTAGTCTCCCTACTCGACTCCCGCAGCACGTGACACGGGTGATCGCTCCTTCTTCCTAGGAACACTTTCTTCACTTGGTCCACAGCACCACGCATGTTCTCCTAGTTCTTGCTTCCCTGGATGCAGGCTCTTTCTCCGCCTCCAGATCACTTAATGATGGAGAATGCCAAGGGCCAGTTACTAATCTTCTTCCTTACCTTCACATACTCACTAAGTGATGGCACAGCCTTAACTATCAACTGTATGCCAAGAGCTCCCACCACTCTTCCTCCCAGGATACAGGAGTGGAACAGCAGCAGGGGGTTCTTCCTTGTCCCATTTCCTTCTGGCCCGGTGGGGGTGCTAGAGAGCAGGGTCTCCAGAGAGGCCTCCCAGCCTTCTCAACCCACTTCTGGCCTGGTCAAGCTCTAGCTTTCAAAATGTGGTTTCACAGCTCAAATGGTCAAAGGCTCAGTCAGTGCAGGCTCACGGTTTCCTTGACAGTAAAAGCCCTAAAAAATGCAGGATGCCTTTGATCTGTTTGTTTTCAGTCAGTTCCATGTGCCAGTAATCACACCAACAAAATTCTTTCCGAGACAGAAGTCTCAAGGCCTTTTAATTTATTTTCTTCCTCCCCACTCTCCATAAACGATTAGCAGCCACCTGGTGGCCATATGAAGCAACAGGTCTGTGATGTTCAAGTGGGGCTGCACAACAGAATTATTAAGGAATTTCTTCTAAGTCTCCCTGTCCAGCAGACCGATGGAATCAGCAGCTCTGCAGGTGGGGGCAAGGTGGTGGGCAGCCATGAACAAGAGCCACTCTGTGCAGTAGGTAAAGGGGCTGTGCCTGACCTCTCATCTCCACCACCGGATGAGTCACCATGTCCACGAAAAAATCCACAAGGCTTTTGTTGCTCAAAAGCGGTTTTCAATTCCTATCTCTTAGTCTCTAGGGCCTAGAAGCAATTTATTATTTTTCTTTCGCTACCCCATATAAGTGAGCCCTCTTTACTCCCTTTCTTTTGTAAACATGTATGTCATCACAGCTTACTGACACTGGTCAGCACACATGGACACACACACTCTGATCTTTTCAACGCTTGACCTGAGTTGGCATGAAGTATCCAGGTTATCACAGATGGCACATTCTCCAAAACTGGTGATCACTCAGCATGGGTTTGTGTCTTGCCCACTTCCAGCGCCAGCTTCCTCATCAGTGTGCCAAATAACTGCTATGACAGAGTTCCGCTTCCACCACCAGCTGCGACACCCAAAGCCCTAAAACCTCAGTGGCTTCACACAAAGCTGTCTGTCTTGCACCCAATACAGTCAAGTGGGTGGGTGGAATGATCTTCTCCACCTAGCATTCCATGACGCAGGTGTCTTTCATTATATGGCTTTGCCCTCTGCTGGGCCCAAGTGGGAGCAGAGGGAGCAGAGATGGGGCTGTTTTGTTCTGGGGAGACATGGATGATGCTGCCCACAATCTGCTGACAGAGTAAACCACAGGGCCTCTCTTATGCACAAGAGGGCCAAGAAACGGAGTCCAGGTGTGTGTCCAGCAAGAGGAGGAAACTCTCATAGTGTAAAATCCTACTAGGACTAAACCCCAGTTGTTTTCACAAGTGCTGGATCCCTTTCCACAATGATTGTCCATATTTACAAGGGTCCCAACAACGTATACGAGTTCCAATGATTTCATACCTCTTAAAATGACTGAATAATTCCATTGTGTGATATGTGAATTATATGCCAATAAAGCTAATGTGGTAGATAATTCTATGTCAACTTGAAGATATATTAAAGTCTACGGTGTGAGATCCAACCTGTCAATCAGGTCTCAACCTGATGGTACCTCCTTGAGAGTGCAGCCTTCTTACAGCCAGGGGAACTAAGACCCCATCCCCCACCTCTCTGGCTTCCTGTTGGCTCGGACTATGCCAGTGAGGCTGAGACCTGCGGGGACCCCCACCATGTTTCCACCGACCTTGGAGCCACTCGACTATGTACCCATTGGCCTGTGAGGTTCATGCCCGAATTCCAAATGACCTTTCTGTGTCATTATAGATGGCTATGTGAGTCTGAAGAGGGCCTTATGGAGTAGTGTTGGATTTAGGGACTTAAGTTGGACTGAGCTGGGATGCCTTCTTGATATATAATTATCTCTTGATATAGTATCCTCTTACATATATATTAGTGTCAATGGATTGTTTTGCTACATAACCCGGTATAACATAACTAAAGAAATTAAACTCTGTAGTGCTAGCGTTTTTGTCTGTCTTGTTCACGGATGTACCCTAAGTCCCTAGAGCACACCCTCGCACATAGCAGGTAAAAAATAATCTTCTGAATGCATGAGCAGATGTATGCGCAAGATGAATCACAGATATGGTGGGGTTTTTTGCAATAAAGGCAAACTACTGTATAAACTCAAGTATCAGCTGACCCAAATATCAGCCGAGGCCCCTAATTTTATCACAAAAAAATGCATTAAAAATGTGTTGAAAAACAGCTTACACATGAGTATATCTGGTAAATGGATCGGGGACTTATAAATAGTGAATTATATTACCTAGACAAAAGATTACATGAAAACTCTTGGGAAAATAAAAATATACTTCTAGGCACCAAACATCATACAAATGCACAATGTAAATCCACCTACAAGTTGGTTAAACACAAAGTAAACTCATCTCTTGTGCACATATAGAACATTCACTCAAACAGCAAAGACAATGGCTACACCTTCTAGAAAGTACTATTATAACTGATTACGCATCCTCTAGCAAAGGTCAAAAGCTCATCTCCAACTTTCTCAGACCCACCAGCCACTCTGGAAGATGGGCTGCATGCTCCCATAAAGGTCTGCGGTCTCAGACGCCCCTGTACTGGATCCTTATGGAGTCACAGCGCACACGGGTTAGGCAGGGATATACTCCAAAAATGAACAACTAAGGAAAAGAGCAAGGAAGTAACCAAGCTGAAATAAAAATAACAATTAGGGGCAAAATCTTTAGCATAAAAGTTTTGCTCAGTTCAAATAAGAATATAAGAATTCACTTGTGATTTATGTAATTCTCTGACAAAATTCCAAAAGCATTTATGAAAAACTGCTTCGTAAACCACAAAGCAGGATTCAACCATCAGTCAATTACTTATATAAATGACAGCCCTAGTTTAAAATGTTTTATGGATTAGCTAAGGGAGCTGGTTCAGATTAAGGTGAAAAAATTCCTTATATCTCTACCCACAGATCAGTGTTTCCCAAAGTGGGTGATACCGCCCCCCTGGAGGGCATTGGAACAATACAGGAGGGGTTGCAAAAGCAGATACCTACACTTTATCCTGGATGACGGGCAGGGGTGCAAAAAAAGTTTAATTGGGAACCTATGATCTAGACAGAATATTCAGGAAAAACTGCACCAGTTAATCCAAACATTATGAAAGTAAGAAAGCCAAAAATGACCTCACATCTAGAGTGTTAAGACTCTAAACCAGAAACAGAGGAATAAACAGTAAATCAATTCAGTGCAGTAATTGTTCTTTAAGGAAAGGGAATGCAACAAATTGAAAAAGTCTACAAAACAATTAGCTCTGTTCAATAAAAATAAAAAAACAAGCTGCTCCCTCTCTCTCCATCTGAATTTTAAAATGAAAATTTATAATAACGACTCCTCAATAAACAAACACTGACATTCACAACACCAGATTCAGGAAGGGATATTGTGTGACCCAATTTTGTGAATAATTGTAACTGAACACCTACTCAATTTTTAAAATGCCTTGTCAGGCACCTACCTATGCAATCTAGAGTACACTTGAGTTGAAGTTTGCTTATTTTGAGCTTGGTTGTGTTTAAAGACCAGGGTGGGGGTGGGGAACCTGGTTAGTGACATTTTATAATACTTGAAATCCAGGAGGGGAATCTAGGCTTAAGAACCTAGATCAAGAGTGATACATCTTACCCAAACAACCAAAACTAAGGGAAAGGTTTAAAACAAAGGCTGCTTAACAACATTTGATAGAAAGAAAAGTATGGCATTTTAAACACTCTGGAAATAAACTGATGTGAGGGAAAGAAATATGATGCTAGCCAGCCACAGGAAAAAAAATCGGACATCAACCCCCTTTAAATTCTATGATTTAAAAATTAGTTTTGAAGGTCAGGATGCATCCCAATTTGGCAATAGCTGCAAAATGCAGTATTTCCCGCAACTTTAGAGGCCAAGATTTGGCTCCTTTATTTTAAGCAGTGTTCTTTCAACAGCTAAAGTCTAAAGCCATGAGAGTAAATTCCTTGCAAAAAAAGAAACTTTTTACTTTGGACTGGGAACATGGCAGCATATAATTTTACTGAAGAAATGAACAACTTCAAATGTAATTAAGTATCTCTTTGGAATTGGGATTTTAAAGTCTACCTTCAAAATCAAGTGATGCTGCATGATGTTCTTTGGAAGACCGGCATAAATGCTAGCATTGCGATTGCAGTATCCCAGATCCTTATTAGGTAGGAGTCGATCAGTAAACTGACCCAGACTGACAGTCGGGGACACGGACAGAGACACAAAAGAGTTACCCAAGAGGAATGCTCCTTCATCTGGTGTTGGTTGCTGTGAGGGCCACCGGCATGGCCGCGCCAAAAGCAGTTTTGGCAGAGCTGGTAGTTGTGGCACTGCTGGCATCGGTACCGGAAGCCCATCATGCTCTCACACCGGCAGTAGGAACACTCCACAGGATGGAAGACTGGCAGACGCGAGGGAGCACGAGAAGGGGAGCAGAGAAAGAAAATTCAGAGAATCCAGTCAATACAGAGAAAATCCAAATCTCATGTAAAAGGCAAGGGCAACAGCAACATTGGAACCAAAGACTCTCAACTGCTAACTAGGCAAAGCCACCAGCCTCCTAGAACCACACAAGACTTATTCATACAGGAGACGAAACAAAACCTTTCCACTTAGAGTACTAGCTTCCAATCTATCTTTGGAAACAACCGACTTCTTCCTTGATGAAACACGTGTTTCTTAAAGTGTCGATGAGCATAGAAGGAAGGAGGAGAGAGAAGCCTCCACTCCAAAACTGCCTGTCCAGACAATTGTTGGTTTTTGGTGGTTGTGTGTGTGTGTGTGTGTGTGTGTACACATACATACATGTGTGTATACATATATATCTGTTTCCTTCACTAACTTGTAAAATCCTGAGAGCCAGGGCTGCCTTGTAAATAGTATTTTACAAAGTACATTGGGCTGGTGCCTGAAAATGTTTGCTGAATTAAATATAACTACATATCTGGACATAAATGGTAATTGGTTGAATAAAGAAGGTCAAATATATTTAAGTATTAGTTTTCAGTCACAGCTCTACCTAAGTAAGACCATGAAGAAATGTACAGCATCCTGGACCAAAAAAGGGAGAGTGATTTGGAGCAAGG